CGGGATATCATAAGAAAACACACTTCCTAGCTCTTGGTTCCAGCTTACCCTCACTTTGATGAGAAAAAGTTGTACAGCCAAAACTTCTAAGTATCGAGTAATCACTCAGTTTACCCGACTATCTCTCATGTGGAGTGTCACCATTCAATGCAGCAGAAGGTGTAAGATTAATCAAATAGTAAGCTGTCATAACAGCCTCACCCCAAAATGACTTGGGAACACCCGAATTGATCATCATGCAACGTACTTTATCAAGTATGGTTCTATTCATCCTTTCTGCTACCCCATTTTGCTGAGGGGCGTAGGGAACGATCTTATATCTAGTTATGCCGCTTTCTTTACACATACTATCAAATTCTTTATTGTAGAATTCTAGGCCATTATCTGTCCTTAAAATTTTGATTTTCTTGCCAGTTTGGTTTTCCATTTGTCTCTTCCAATTATTAAAATATTGAAGGTCTCAGATTTATCCTTCAAAAGATAGACCCACACCTTCCTAGTGTAGTCATCAATAATAGACAGGAAATATCTATTACCACCCGATGTGGGGTTACTGGCAGGACCCCAAAGATCAGAGTGCACATATTCGAGCATGCCTTTAGCTCTATTAACACTGGTGGAGAAAGAAATTTTGTGATGCTTACCAAGCACACAATGATCACAAAATGGCAAATCTGACACACAGTCATTACCAAAAGCACCATTTTCATTAAGTAGCTTAAGTCCCTTGATTCCTACGTGAGCAAGTCTATTGTGTCATGTGTGTGTGTGATCAATCTTGGCAGAGGAGATAGATGAATTCACATATCTAATCACTTCCCCAGTAGTAATGTATACATCATTTTTTAATTTACCCACCTTTCTTAAAATGGCGTCAGACAAGTGTAAGATAATTGAGGTATAAGCAGCTCATCGGCTTCTTCTCTTTGTTCTTGTGAAAAATCAGTTGAAAAATTGCCTTCAATGGCTTTTGAAATCTTTTGTTGGACTAAAATACCCTTCATTTTTTGTTGCCAAATAGCAAAATCACCCTTTCCGTTAAAAATTCCCAAATCAAAACTGTGAGTTATCATCTTCACACAATAGTCAAAAATGCACAAACCACAATCAAACCATACAAAGTAGTCCTAGGGGTCACAGACAATATACACCGTTTTAGATTCCCAGAGTTTCGTAAGACTCACAGTCTTAGATCAAGGGAATGTTCGAAAGGGTAAAGTCACGGTATTTCTAATGGAATAAGTAAGCAGCGGAAATAACAGTGCAGCAAAAAATACGTCTAGCAGATAACTAGTTCCACAGTAATTTGATCACTAAAAATTACAAGACTGATTTTAAACCCAAAAACAAATACTCAATCAAAAAAGATCAATCAAGAGCACGTAACCCTAATTCTAGTACAAGCAATGGTTGCCAAGCAATGACAGCCCCCAACCTATTGTCACCCCACACGATGACGCGCTAATGCTGAAAAATTAACGGGTTAAGCCAATTTGCCAGAGCGGACGTGTCTGAGTCCGTATAATCGAGAGAGATGCGAATCTACTGCTTTAGGGCCGCAATCTTGGCCTAAAGTAATTCAATAGATATATGCAGATTCAACCGTCGATCCACCGGGGGCAAAATTGTCCAACTTTTTCTGTATAACCTGAAACAGAAAATAAACAGTGTCAGTGCGTTCAGCGGATTAAAATGAGCAAACTGCCCAAAGGAAGTTCTCCCGAAATCGCCGCCACGCGCCACCTACGAAGGGGCGCCTCAGCCTGCTGGTCTCGAATATGGGATCGATTTCGCTGAAAAGTGATTGGATTGGCCGGAAATGAGGGTTGCAGCCACGGTTTTTTCGCCCAAACCCGCGACTGCAGTCGGTTTTTGCTGATTTTCAGGCCGAGGAAAGCTGCTACTGCTCTGATGCCAGATGTAGGGTTGATTTCCACCGCCACCACGTGCAAAATCGGGCTCAGTTTACCACAACATCGACACTAACACCGTTGAGACAACTCCAACACCACCACTTGCCGCCCCCACTCCGGTTGCTACCAATTGGAGAAGGAGAAACACAATAATATGCCTACAAAAGGTTAACCACTAAGGTCACAGTGAGGGAGAAGGGAGAGGCCGAGAGGGAGACTCACAAAGAGAAAGGGAAAAACGCACTCTATGGAGGCCGAGACAAGAGAGGGATTATATGCCAAGTAAAATGTCCAAATAGGTAAGTTAGGTTAGGGTTAAGTGGTGGACCAACAAACGAGACTCGACTCAATTAAGTGGGCTTCAACAATAATAATATAGCCTTCCAAGGAATGGAGCAAGAACCGTGAGCGACACTATAAAAATAGGTTGCTTCGAACGGTCCATAATAAAGTGAATTGTGTTGTCTCGATAATTGTGTCGATGTACTAATCAATCATTTGGCCGAGGTCGATTGATAATAAACAACCGATGTTACATCATCGTTCGGGGAGGTCGTTTGACAACAAAATTGCCTAATAGACATCAAGTTATTCACAAGTTTTTATTGATGGAAGTGCGACAAGCCACTCATGACGAGATGTGGTTTAAAGTTGCCGGTAAACATTTGAAAGTTTCTGTTGAGGAGTTCGCACTCGCTAGCGGGTTGACGTGCCAAGGTGATGATAACATCAATGTGTTCAAAATTGGTCATAGTCGAATCAAACATTTGTTCTTCAAACACCAAAAAAAAAAAAAAAAAAAAAAAATAAGAAAAAAAAAGAAAAGAAAAGGGAAACTAGAATGTCTCTCTCTTAACATCAGCTATTGTGTTTTCATACAGAGAATAGCTTTGGTATACTTTGTCGTGGCTATTATAGAGACCCTCACCACCAAGCTCAGACCAACAGTTCTAAACCCCGGTTATCTCTCCATTTTCACCGCCTACAAATGGCAATGGTAAGTATGCGCATGCAGATAATGTATAGTACTAACCGAACATATACTACTTACCCTTTTAACACCAAGATAAGCACCGATAATTGATGTAACAATTGCAGGTTTGGAGGGTTTGTTGCGTTTGTTATATACATGGTGACAGCATTCGCTTTATATGTTCCTGACTGGAGCTTCGTCGTGCACCATAAGCTTGGAGCTGAGAAATACACTGTAATAAAATGACTTCTTTTTTCTACGGATGCAGTAATAATTAGTTACAGTCAAAGAAAATGAGACTCAACCTAAGCTTTATAATTTTCAGGTGAAATGTGGAATGCGAGGGCATTTTGGACCTGCCTGCAATGCAGTTGGTTATGTGGATAGACAAGTCTGGGGTATTAATCACCTCTACTCGCAACCCGTCTGGTCGCGATTAAAGGTCAGAGTTCAGAAAGACCACATAACAGATTCATATACAACAATTCAAAATAAGTTTGTTTTATTATAAATTCCTTTCTTTTCTTCTTCTTTTCTTGGTTTCATATGTTGATATTTAGCTATGTACAGGCTTGCACCGAAGCACGGACAACTAATAATAAGTTAGACTTTTACATATTAGTATATCAAATATTGTCACATTAGGGTAATGCTCAACCACCAATATATTTTTCCGTAGCATGCTGATTGTGGAGAAAAATCAAATACCCCAACCATTGATAGAATGGTTTACAAGGAACATAAATAGTCATCACAAAATCAGAGCGATTTACGCCACGATGAATGCAATCCCGCCACATCCGAATGCCTAACCGCTGTTATTAAGGAACAGATACAAAATGATGTAACGAACGATATAAACTATACCGAGGAGGATCTTATTCAAGTGGATGAGGTAATAAAGATTGCTATGTCATTGAAATTGAAGTTTGCATATCAGGTATCGCAGACATTACTACCCCATTTTCTTGCATTGTGTTATTTGAATTGTGTTTTAGGTTTCACACATCGTCCTACTTAGAATATGAATTTGTATTCTACATGCTAATTTTAATATGGTTGGCATACGAAAACTATTTTTTCTAAGGTTGATGATGACGAGACACATATGTCACGTTTGCATGTGAGTGATGAATTTGGCAAAGACATCATTGTTCAGGAACTATTCCCTAATGAGGTATGTATGTCAGCAATGCCAATATGCGACCTATACGCCACTATTTTCTTTTAACTTACTTCAAATGTTGGCATCTAATTGATCGTAACATGTTAGTCAATGTTATATCGTGTCATTTCACAGTCAAGTTGTATATTGCCACCTATAATGTGTCTTATTGATAATACAATATAGGTGTCAAACCAGTTAATCAATACTTCTAAGCAGCAAGAAGGGAGCTTTATCGAAGTTATTCCCGATACAGCTGCAGTAGTAATGTTCTTTCTAACACGTCACAATAACTCAATAAATTTCAGTTTGTTATTTAAATTTTTTGAAGTATTTCCTTCCCGAACTAACACAGTATATTTTGCTGATTTTATTGAAATCACACTCATAAGTAATCATCTGACGAACACACTAGATTTGTAATATAAGAAGTCTAATTCTTAAAAAAATTTTAAGAAATAATTTTTGCTAAACGATAGGACGTGCACTTCTTTTACTGAGGGACCCTCAATGAAATTGCATACAACATGAATGCCTTTAACGAGGAAATGGAGCCGCCAAATGACGATGATGTTGAGCTTTTTTATGAATGGTTCAACGACGGATATAGGGTCGGACACATGTAATTCTCCATTCTATTTGTTTGCCTGTAATTGCACACCATGAATTTTTGATCATTTCAATAATTTTTCATTACAGAGAATCCAACTTCCCACCAAAAAAGGATAATCTGAAGCCCCCTTTTCAGTTTGGGCCATACACGGTTGACTCAAAGACATGGTGGCACGAGTTGTGTCGGTATACCTTAGGGATTCTGTACGTTTGGGATTAGAATACCAATTTTATCTCATCTAGACTGTAATTTTATATTCTATTTATTAACAATGTGGACATCTAAATCATTTTTTGCAGCATGTTAATGTTTGTTTCTACTTCTTCCGAAAGTTGGTAAAATTTGGCAATCGGTCAGTCAAATGTACCACAATTGATTCATTCTTTGGCTCAATAGTCATTCTGCATAGAAGATATGCAGGGACGATATAAGGTAAATATCAAAGTTCAAATCTCTAGTCAAGTACGCGAACGGGGATTACATGCATTGTAACACACGTTGGTCCGATGTTGAACACATACTTATTCCTATCATGATGGGCAAGAAAGCACATTGGATACTCGGGCACTTTAACATCAAGGAAAGGGCTCTGAATGTGTACAACTCAAGCAGATTAGCAGTCAGAGATCGAATGGTTGTAGCCGATATAGAGGCATTTGCATACATTCTGCCCTGCCTCATGGTCATTAACAAGAATTGGCAACCCAATATTGTCAATGTATTTGAGCGTGTTGAACCACTTGCAGTGAAGATTGCCAGTGATATCCCATAGGACTAGTTTCTTTAAGAATTATAAATATTAATGCCGTTTCTTTAAGAATTATTTTATTGCATTAAACTATTATTATATTTAAGTACTAGTTTATCTTAGTATTTCGTAGCAGGTTTTCCTCACACTGAACAAATTTCGTGATGTTTTATGGAACTATACCAGTATCGCTTGCATATAACTGGTCAACAATTAAAGTCAACACATTACTCATAATACGTAACAACTGCTAACAAATGAGCAGCTCAATGGACAGAAAATGTAAAATGCATTATGTACGATGAACATGTAACATATAGTTCCCAGCATCTTTATAACCATAAACATCACAAGCATCCTTGAAGGAATAAAAGTCCTATTCTGCCATGTAACACGTATTGTAGGCATCAAAACTCAATCATTGTTCACCAAAAATGAATATAAAAGAATTACACCATATCAAATATCCAATAGTGACTACATAACTATGCAACAATATCCTTAGAATGATACCCATAATGAAAAGGAAAATTTGTGAACCTGTGTTGCATCTAAATGTTCCTATATTATCAAGTTCAACAACCTGGACGAATACTTAAAACAATGCATGAAACATAACTTTTAACCAATACACGGAACATAGGACGAAACATAAGATTTAATCAATACACGAAACTTAGTAATTCATCTTCCTATTCGAGGATGGTCTAATAACATCTAGTTGAATAATGTGCATTAGGCCGTGAATCCATCCATGTAACATAATTGACGATAAAAAAAAGATTAATGCAAGTGAATCATTTATTTCAAAATGGTGTTCATTACACAATGGAGAACGTTAAACATAGACATGTGCTGCTATGGAAACTAATAGTCTACGATATATAGATATTAAACGATATGGAATATATGCCTTGTCTAAACATTTGGTCCTCGTTTTCACTTTCGTACACCAATAAGAGGATGTGGATTCTTTCATGTTCTACTATTGTGACCCTTACCCTTGTACCTCCCACACTTGGTCAATTGTAACAACTCCAACATTGACCTTCTCCTCGTCTTTCTTGGCCTGCCTGGTTGCCTCTTCGATCTAGGAGGCAAAATATTGTCACGACAATCATAATTTTCCACTCCCCATTGGGATCGATCTCCCAGTGGTATTATGTAACCAGCGTAAGATCCCGCAAAATAATATTTAGTGTGGTATTTTGAACAATAATTGTACAGTTGTTCGCATCAATCACCAATCACAGCTAATGCGTGTTTACACGGAATCCCATCCAATTGGAAATGACAGCAAGTGCAAGTCATTAACCTCAAATCGACAACATGTTGCTCGATATCATCCAAAACTTGAAACAAGAAATCATTTGACGCAGATACCTAAGACACACGAAAATGATGTTAGGATAATACATAGGACAAACGACCACTCAAACGCTCAATGAAATGCATTACATGAGTCTCACAATTCCATATTGTAAATATCAATACCTATGCAGACAACTTTAATGTTTCAAAATTTATAGATAATGACAAATTACTTTGATGTATCATATATATTGACTGATAAATCAAGGAATGTGGGTTATAACGATAAAACTTAGTTGGATATACCACGCTATATAAAATTATCAACCTACAAATATGGATTATTATTCCTATATGTACCTTTAGTTTCAATGAAAGCTTTGCATTCCTTCTCAGCAATTCTTCCGATTTTGGTGTGAGTCGTGTGAACGTTCCTTGTGCATTACCTCTGTTCTTTGAAAATCACGTTGTATTGTATTCCTTAACGATTCGAATAAATAGTCAATGGGATAGTGCTTCATCGGTTTTGTAGCTGAGTTTACCGACTCGACGATGTTCGATGTCATGGCTGAAAATCTGTTAGTTCGCATGTGTGCTCTTGACCATTTGTGGTAGCCAATTTCGTCCTACAATTCACATTACAGATAATACAAATTCATTAGTGGATGTCATTAGTTTGAAGATGGCAAAGATAATGCTAGATATTGCCCCTAAGTTTTTGACATAGTAAGCAAATAGAATTATAAATATATAAACACCAGTGTCTAAAAGTCATAGGGATAAGTTATTCATACTATTATCTCTGCAACTAGTGAAGAAATACCTTATAGAGACTATTTGCACTTGCTAGAACACAAGACCATGCATAAGAAATAGATGCACCTAATGACATAATGACATAATGAAGATGGTCAAGTATGTAGCATCAACAACGACCATAGATTTGCAATTTTCCCACCCTTTGATAGATGCACCTAATGACATAAAAGCATATTTGAAATGTCCCTCGCCATCAATTTCGATACTTATTTCTATCCCCATATTCGTCTGTTCAAATTCGCTCAAATAAATGGCCAGCTTACTGTAAGACATGTTCGGATCCCCCATTATTGACTCCAACGCATGCTCCCAAGGTCTCCACTCCTTGCCATATGTTAATGTCACCCCGTATGTTGATAACATATCATGCATAAAGTCAACATGTGTGTATATCGTTCTGGCGGACGTGTATATATTGTTTTATAAATTCACCTATCAACAAACTTTTTGCCTGACGATGATCTCTAATAACTATGTCCATTACGCAACTATGAACATTACGAATATAACGAAATTTGAAAGAATCTATTTTGCCCGTTTTCAATGCTCTAAATTTCCATTTGCAATCGTCTTATCGACACTTCAGAACATATTCACGTTGATCAGATTTGTGAACCCTATACTCAAGCCCGGTCCTGGGGCTAGGCAAATGAGGCCTATGCCTCAGGCCCAATATCTAGGGGGGCCTCACTTTGGGCCCAGAATTTTTTTTTTCTCTCTTTTATAGTTGAACTTGAACCACACCCAGTGATGCAAAAATGCTGCCCACAACTTCAAACTCAAATCCAATCCAATGCACTTAGCCTTAGACTTTGCCTCGGGCCTCGACAATCACAGGACCGGCCCTGCCTATACTGGAAGTTGTTCCGTATGGCGTATAACGTGATAGTCCTCTTCATCGTCT